TTGCTCTGACTTGCTTGTTGCAGTAAACTTCCCTTCTCTTCTGGCCTTCTTTCTGTCTCACTCTTACGGGTTCCTTGGCTCGAAGTTCGACTTAATTAGCAGTACCAGGAGGGTCACAACAGCGTCCACATCAGCTCTCTGGTAAAGACGCTGGAGGTTTATCATGCTGGCAAAGCCATCAACGGGTAGATCTGGGAGACAATGTCACAATTTTCTTGAAGAGGGCTCTATGAGACGGTCTTACACTGCAGCTTGGTTCGGGGGTGTGACAATGGTGGTGATTTGGATGACCGGGTTGCGAACAGGTCCACCAAAACTGCTGACTTAGGAGTGCGTTGTGAGGGGCGACCGGCAGGAAAGAGGCTTCCGCATGAAGATGATAGATAGGCGGCATCTTGTAGCAACCCGTGATTAAGCGGAGGGCGGCCTTCTGTGCTGACTGAAGGCGGCGAACGCTGGGACGGGCGATTGTTGGAGACCATACTGATGCCGCATAGGTGAGATGCGTCTTGGTCAAGGCTTTGAACATGATCGCAAAAGTCTCTTTCGCGCAGCACCAGGATGTACTTGCATGGGCCTTGAGAACCTTTGTGCAGCGACTCACTTTGCTTGCGACCTTCCTCACATTGTCCGCGAACGTGAAGAGAGTATCGAAACACACGCCAAGGAACTTCGGCTTACATGACAGCAGTAAAGACGTGCCGTTGACGGTGATGGCAGGGTGGCGATTGAACTCCTTCGGGTCCACTGTGAAACATTCACTGATGACTTGGCTGCCGAGATCGTCACCCCGCGCTGAATGAAGACGTTCACGACATCAGGCATGAACCCCGAAAAGCCGTGATGGTGCTGGCATAAAAAGGTTAAATCGTCCGCGTCCGATACAACTTTTGCAGGTGCTGGAGAGAGTGAGAGGTCTTGCATGTATATATAGAACAGCGTCGGACTGAGCACAGAGCCTTACGGGGCTTAAAGAGAACGCCACGGAAAAGTACACGATCGTGGTGACCATGGATGTAAGCCGCCAACCATCCAATCAGGCCAGTCGACACGTTCAGGGATACTAAGTCCTGCAGGATCTGATCGTGGCGGACGCAGTCGAAGTCTCGTGACAGGTCAATTGAAAGTGCCACGGTCCTATTGATTGAAACCCTCGAGGATGGTGACCTTGAACTCAAAAAAGCCGGTGTGGTACCACGACCCGATCTGAAAACATACGAGTGGCTAGAGAGATCCGCTGCACACGTCAGAATTCGGGGAGGAGTCGTTCCAGCCTCTTCGCCAGTGGACTGAAAAGGGCGATAGGGCGATAGGAGGTCGGTAGACTGGGGTCCTTGTCTGCTTTGACCAGTTGTATAATGATGGACTGGCTCCAGCAATCGGGGATGATTAAACTAACACGCAAAAGGTTGAAAATGGCAGCCAGGTAGGCAGCCACCTTAGGGCCGATATGGCGCAAATGGATAGGTGCGAGGTTATGTGGTCCTAAGGTTTTTGCGGCTCTTATTTTCATAACGGCGGTGAGGAAAGCATCGGCCGAGAAGGAAATATCTGGAGACGGGGCTTTATGAGGGGGCGAAGCAGGGAGTGCTGACGTTTGTGGCTGGATACTTAGCGGGGCGAGGACAGTTTGTTCGTCTTCGCGGCAATCTTACAGTTGTTCGAAATAAAAATGCCTTTCCCGAAGCTAATATACTGGTTAGGTGCATAAACCCAGGACTTGTTCAGATTGCATAGAAGTTTCCAGGTGGCAGTTGAGTTGATGTGGAAATTGCAATCTGCAACTAGTTCATGCCAGCGTTGACGTTTGTCGTCTTGTACAGTCTTGGTGACCAAGCCATGGAGTTCGCCGACGCGCAGCCCACTGGCATCACGCGCTCGTTTGTCAGGTGGGAAGCTTCAGGGGAATGCGGCCGTTAGATACATGACGACATGCTGCTACCAGAAGCAGTTGATGAACGGCTCGCCCTGTCATGTGGACACAGGAGGAAGGCAGTAGGCCATCGATCCCGGCTTCGCATTCAGCGGTA